GTACTCAGTCATTTATGTCAGTTTTATTTATGAAGGCAAAACTATTAGTTAATTTTGTATCATCTATATTATCCATCTACTATTACTACAAATATTATTACTAGTGCCTTTTTGCCTTTATTAGATGGCACAGTGAAGAGTAGACAGGAAAGCAGGGAGAGTGAGTCAGGGTTTGTGATAAAAGTGAAGGTGTTGTACTGATGACATTACCTGGGCCTACAGTACTACTTTTAGGGACCTTTTTTGTCCTTCAACATAAACCAAATAAACATCCACAAATGCCTTTTTTTCATCTGTATATTGCTACCAAAATTAGAGCTCTGTCTCAGAGGGATGTTGAAAAACTAGTTCACACATTTGTGACTCCTCAATAACTACAAAATGCTACAGTGAGAGAACTAACAGGGTGTAGAAAGAGAGATACATACAAAAGTCCTGAATGATCAGGCCGTGTCATATCTTAAAGACCTTGTAGGACTGTATTATCCCATAAGAAAACACTTCACTCTCAGTGTGCAGGCTTACTGAAGTTTCCAAAAATAGCATGGTAGCCTTCAGCTATCAGGCCCCTGTCCAAATGGAACCAGCTCTTAGTTTGGGTTCAGGAGACAGACACCCTCTCTATTTTTAAGATTAAGCTTAAGACTTTCCTTTCTGATAAAGTTTATAGTTAGGGCTGGATAAGGTGGCCTAGAACAATCCCCTAGTTATGCTCCTTTAAGCTCAGGCTGCTGAGGGACCTCCCATCATGCACTGAGCACTTCTCCACAACTCTCTTTTCATTCCTGTTGGTTATAGCACATCTGCATGCCATTCACTTTCATCTACTCTCCCCCACAGTTTGTGTTCTGTCCTCATCTCCTCCCACTCTCCTTTCTCTCCATCAACCAGTCACAGCAGATGGCGTGGTCCCTCCTTGAGCCTGGTTCTTCTGGAGGACTCTTCCTTTCAATATGAAAGCACCTGGGGCGGTTGTTGTTATGAATTGGCACAGAAAATAAAATAAAAATGAACTGAATAATACTACATGTGAACTACTAAATATCTTGTATGGTTTTTAATTTTTATCACTGTTTTTTAATGGAAAGCACTTTGGTCAACCATGTTGTTTTAAAGTGCTCTATAAATAAAGTTGGATTGGATATTTGTGTAGAATTTTTCTTCATTTCTTAATAATGTTGCAACCTTACTTACTGTTATGATTTACTGATGTTATTTAGTTCAGTATGTTTCACTGTAAAGGTTGAGGATGTGTGTAAATAACAAACCCCTGTTAAGGAGACAGGATGGCTAGCCTTAGCGACAAGTCCACGTTGACCAGACAGATAAATGAGGCGATTGTCACTCAGCAGTGATAATGGGAATTTCTCAAGGACTGGAGGAAGTTATCATAACAAGTTTAAAACTGTTCAGTCTCTGTGTTCTGGAGTAAGATAAACCTACCATGAAGCCTTGGGCTCATTGTGCCTCACAGCCATTCCTGGGGAAAATGCTTGCTCTAGCAAACCAAAGCCACACTTTTGCTAATGCAATCACACATTTTTACACACTGGAACTTGATCGTTATTATTTACAGGGAATAATAACAGTTTCTGAGAAAATAAAATTCTATCCACTTCTTCTTTTCACACCAAAACGAAACAGGAAACTACATTTAAGTTTAAATCAGGAAAAGTATGTAAATGGGAGGTCTGCTTATCCTACTGGCCATTAAATTTTTTTAAATAAATTAAAATCACATGTATTTTTCAAACTCAGTATTAGTAATTCCTTTGAAGTGTGTACATATTGAAAACACAAAAGTCCAACTCTCACTGCACACTCCTGTCCTCAATCAAAATACAGGCTTCATCTCGACATCCAGGCCTCACTGACTGAACCCATCTGCTTTATTTCAGCTGGTCTGCGATCAGTTTGTACACACCTGCACGGCAGCGGACCTAGTGGCGTGTCTGAGGAGGCAAATCTGACTCAGGATCTGCAGCACAGTGTGTCGTGTATAAGTATTTTTCCCCACTTCATAACAGAAAAGAGGAAAGCAGGCCCGCCATTTCCCCTCCTCAGTGGTCTCTTTTTCAGTCCTAGCTTGTAAAGCCGACCGACGGTGGCGGCGGCGACATCGGCGGGAGGAGGCGGAGGAGAAGGAGGAGCGGCGGAGGCAGGCAGGCGGGCAGGCGAGCGGAGAGACGCAGGGATCTGGTGTGCCACATCGGGATGAGAGCGAGGCTGAGATCCGGGTCGAGTGAGTCAGCGAGTGGACCTTGCAATCACAGCATCCTTAAAAACTGACTGATTCTGGACGGAGCCGAGCGGCACAACAATACATAAACTACCGAACATTTTTTTTTATTGTTGTTGTCATTTTTCGCTTGTCTTTATTATTCCGCCCTCCCTCGGTCTGCGCCTGCCATAGCCTTAATTCTGATTTTCATTTCCACCAAGCTGGGTGAAGCGGGGGGGTCCGGTGAGGTAGCGGTGTAGGAGGAGGTGGAGGGTTTATTAATTTTTTGCTGTTGTTATTGTTTTCGTACGAGCTCATATCTGAAGGCAAACCCAGACGAGCCTCATATTTTGACAGCCTTTTGTTGCACTGACTGGAAGCGAAGATGTCGGGGCAGAGCATTACGGACAGGATAACTGCAGCCCAGCACAGTGTAACGGGATCCGCCGTGTCGAAAACAGTATGCAAGGCCACCACGCACGAAATAATGGGCCCGAAAAAGAAACATCTGGATTGTGAGTATCTTTAAACACCACACGGGTTTTGGGGTAAAACCACCACTGAATTTTTTTCCCAGTGGAAACTAAGCTAAGCTATATCGATAGCTGAGCTATTAGGCCTCAAAGCCTTTAGCACAGGCTACATAGGCTAAGATGCTAGCGCTTGCTCATGACAGGGAGATTAGTTATATTGTTTAAACACTGACCACAGGCCTTCTTGAAATAGTTTTGAACGTAATTACGGAATCTTAAGATTGACAGCCTTTATTTATGCTTACAGTTAATTTAGCCTTTTCGTTTTACATATAAGTTGCTGTAAACCTAGCTTTTTTTTCTTTTAGCTCCCACTACTTCCTATATTTACTCATAGCTTGAAATTATAGCCGTAATTCGCTTATGTGACTGCTGCTTCATACAGAAAATCCTTACAAAATATATCAGGAAGCTGTGGGCCCTTGCACAACATTTCCAGGAATGCTCTCATCTTTAGTGGAGTGAGTGAGTAATTTGATACCTGCTGATACACTGAGGTGACACTGAAGGAGCAAAAAAGAAAAATCACAGTTTGTGCCTGGAGTACCTTAAAGGACACGGACAGTACATGACACATCTATGACAAGAATACATATGCACCCTGACGCAGGCACAGGGGCTTAAACCCTCCTCTGACTTATGAGTACATCAGAGGGGTCACTGCTTGTGTGTACTTAAAGATGCAGCAGTAATATTTTTCTGCATTTTGATCCACAGAAATTAAAGCAATGAACATGGTTTTATGAAGGTCCTGTGTCTTCATAAGAGTTCAGTGCCGTGTATGTGTGTGGAGGGAGGGGGGATTGTATATTTATCTACCATGTTCAAGGCTGCTAACCCAGCACAGTGGTTTTTGGACTCAAGAAGCTAAAACTGTGGTGAGTATTTTGGGTTGATGGTAAAGCTGCAGGTTCCACACCTGTTGTTCTGCTCAGACGACTCCCCTGAGGTGACATGAGTGAAAGTTGGCAGAGTCATACACTGTTGGACTGATCCCAACAGAAGCCATAAATCCAGCGTGACTGAGATGTGTCTCAGCACACACAGGACAACCTGTATGTGTGTGCGTACATAATGCCACAAGGCCCTCTTATTGTATGTTGACACTTAAGAAAGGTCAGTTGTCTGGGTTGGCAGGCTTACTTATGTTTTCTCAATTTTTAATCTCCATTTTGACACAAATTTTCTGCATTTTGAGTAAGTTTAGGAGGATTACTTTCACTAGAGAGTTGAAAGTACTGTGAATGACTGGAGACACACCAGAACGATACATGTGGTGCTTTTTAAAAAGTGCGTTACGAGTAAAAGAAGCCACAGTTAGCTTAATATCTGTAAATTTTAATCTGTATAATCCTCAGAATTCTTTCAGATTCACATATTTCACAAAGTTTTAAAACACATGACTAATGACAGTAAAGGTGTGTGTGTGTGTGTGTGTGTGTAGTCGAGTGTTTCAGGCTCCAGATGCATGCAGAAGGAACATTATAGGAATCTGATCATTTATGCGGCTTATTGTAGAGACCGAAAACACATTTGAGAAGCTGTAGTCTGTAAATATTTTATTTTTTTAGGTTGTCCTTAAATCTGGATATAGCAGACACCTTTTTTAATGGAGGTTTTCAAGTGTAAGAAGAAAGTCGAAGTTCTCAAATGTCAAATATCATTCAGTTTAATGCAGATGTAATAGAAGTTTTTCTACAGTCCGCATCATTGTTAATGAAATCGGCACTTCTTTTATCAAAGGAAAAAGTAAACAGGACAACCAAATGTTCCGTTTTGTCAGTTTTCAATACTCTGATGCACTCGGCAGTATGTGCGTACGTGGAATGGAAGAAGAGCTCAAAGTGCACAGTAGTAAAAATCAAGTGTGTGAATGTAGCTTGTAGTGTAGCTGAACTTTGAATCTATTAAAACTACACAGGTGCTTCATAAATAGAAGTCCAAAGTCTGATAGCCACCTCTTATGTGACACTGTCTGACTGGTAATCATAATCAGCTTTAAGTAGACATCATTAACATAGACTCATGGACTCATTAACAGTTTGATCCACAAAATGCCAGAAATTAAAAAAAAATAAAAATAAGAAAAGAAAAACAGTGTCTCATAGTTTAAACCTCAACCTTTACTTTAAAGTCACATTTAAGTAAAGATGGGGAATTCAATAGCAGAGTGTGCAGAGGATCTGCAGAGTAGTTGATAATTAATTTTGTTATTCAGTTAATCAATAAATTCTGTTAGTTATTGCTATTAGTACCTGAGTGACTGCTTAGTTTGAGTAGTGGAGGTGAGGAACGAGTGACGCTGAGTCAATGGGCCAAAATGTAACTTTATTTTATGAAACATGTCAGATCAGTATTAAAAAGTTCACAATGATCAGTCAAAATATGGTGGAAGAATTTACACACATTTACATTTTTGTCATTGTTGTTTTTTTAAGTTATCACAATAAGTAACTAATTCATCATTTATATCCTGTCTTATAGCTCCTGTGGAAAGCCTCCTTTCTCTTAGTTGCTCTGTCCTCACTCTGATGCATTTTAGGACTAAAGGCATGTTTAAGATGACACACTAAGACTGATTTCTGGGTCACAGGCACAAATCCGTGTTATAAAAATACTCTTTTATATCATTGTGCTCGCATAGTCTCTCTCTCTCAATTTTTTTTCCAAGATAAAATAAACTAGCAGCAAATAATTATTCTCTATTATAAATATTCTCATAAATAAAGCCCTGTTTTTAACACGTTCTAGCTGATCCTGCATTGATTGTCGTTACATGGATTTAAACTGCATAATGAGGACTAAATGCGGATTTATTTTTAATGCACAGTTCAGTGGCATCACTCATTGTCATGACAGTTACATGAATACATTTGTGTCTTGTGAATTGATTCACTTAGAAATCGTTCATGTCAGCCACTGTGGACATTTAGCAGGCTGATTATAACATGACAGTGCTGTCAGTGCATCCTCCTCCCCCATCTTCTTCCTCCTCCTCCTGCCTCGTCTCCTCTCTGTCGTCGTTTTCTTCTCTGGGCAGTTCAGCCACCCATGCTAACTTCTCTGCTGCTGCTTCTGTGGAAGGTTATCCTGTCCTACTTAGAGTCCCCCGCCTTTTGAAAAGTCAAATATAGGACAGAAATGGAGGCCCAATTACCCCTTCAGTCTGATCGCTTCTGTGAATGGCAGGGTCATTAGCACTGATGTACTCGGCTGCTTCGAGTAGTATCATTCAACCAGCATATGGGTGCGGGGCGAGCATATGATCAGAGGAAGTGGGACAGAACATGTATGGTTAACATCTTATGCCCTGCACTTTATACTGGTCTGATAGAAGGGTGGTTTGCTGCCAGTAATAAGCTAGATTAGTTTCAGGTTTCTGCTGCAGTGATCCCTGATTGTACTCAAACAACAGTATGATGATTTAGTCATTATCATGCAGATTTTATGTGGAAAACCGCTTTTCTTAAATACCCTTATTTGGCCAATTTACCTCACTGCTCCAGAGGATTTTGGATAGAATAATAGCAGGACTTCAGGACTACAAGAACCTTTTGTTACTACCTGATCTGTAAGTTACTGGTGTGATTGTTTAATTAACTGCATAGACTTTATGTGAAGCAGAAAAAAGCTTGGCAGATGTTAGAGGAAACAGCACCAGAGCTGCCATTAATAATACAGAGATCAACAACACAGTATAATTTTTTTAGGTGCACGTATTGGACTTGGAGATTTGTGATCAAATATTCACCTATTTTATGTCCAACAATATGAAATTAAACTGTAAAATGACTAAACGAGATGGGAAATACTCAGATTTTAGAGCTGTTGGTCACATTTGTTTGGCAAATGATAATTCTGTTATCCACATATGTTGGACAGTTTTTTAACAGTTTATCATTTACAGTGTCCTAGCTGATTGTATTTTATAGTATTATCAATGGTGTTTTCTGTTAAGCTGATGGTGTTGTGTTAGATTAGAAAACATCAGTAACATAGTTGGTCTTTACAGCATTTTTAGATCTTTTTGAACAGTCTTCCTTCACCATTTTCAGTTTTGTCTCGACTGATCGCCAGCACAAAACGTAGTAATGTGAATTAGCCTGTGTCGCAATTTTTGGGATTATTTGCCAACATTGGGGTTAACAGGTGAACAAGTTGAACTACTGTGAGCACAGTGACCTGCTTTGGAAAACATGGAAATTAGATGAACACTGGAGACCAGTTTTTAGTTTGCGCATCTGTTGTTACTTTCTAATTTGTCACAGTAGACAGCGGCAGGTGTTGGTCTGTTTGCTGGTTCAACATAAGGCCTGTCTGACAAAAAGAAATGATACACTGGGAATAGATTCCTGATGAACATTATTCAATGTTTGTTGGCATAATATGCATCTAAATCAGCGGACAAATGGGAGCTGTTGGGATCTCAGGCCACAGGTCAGAACAGTGGAGCTTCAGATAAGCCATAAAAAGCAGTAAAATGCCTCATTCAGACTGCAGTAGACAACACTGGACAGCCTCCAGTTATTAAAAACTGTAATTTAACTGTATGAAATCTCTTTTGTTTTAAGATTTGATTCATTGCACCAACGAGATGAACGTGAACATTCCCCAACTGGCTGACTCGCTGTTTGAGAGGACCACCAACACCAGCTGGGTGGTTGTGTTTAAATCCCTCATCACTACACACCACCTCATGGTCTACGGTAACGAGGTGAGACACTTGATCCCATTCCCATTACGATCCAAGCCAATGAACTGGTTCCACTTTAATGGCAGAATATTTGAGTGTCTGTTTCACCAATTAGTGATGTTGCCTTAACTGTTGTCACGCCTCCTGCAGCGTTTTGTCCAGTATTTGGCTTCAAGGAATACACTTTTCAACCTCAGTAACTTCTTGGACAAAAGTGGATTACAAGGTAACGTTTTTTGTTCTTATCGTGGAAGTTTCAACAAAATACGTAAATTGTGATAAATGCTTATTTGACACCTCCTGTCTTGCGTTCCAGGCTATGACATGTCTACATTCATCAGGAGGTATAGTCGATACCTAAATGAGAAAGCAGTTTCATACAGACAGGTTGCCTTTGACTTCACAAAAGTTAAACGCGGGTGAGCACTGAAACAGATTTCCTATTCTACAATAAAAGCTGTAAACTTGCTTTCCCTTTAAATATGTTTAAAGAAAGAATGTTTACATCTGAAGCAAATAATAATGCTCATTGTGACTAAAGCTGGGTTGTTTTAATTCATCAAATAGTGAAATATAGTGATCAGTTACTCACGGCTCAGAGAGGTCTTTAAATACGTTGTCTAAACTGTCTAAATTGGCTCTTTTTTTGCATTTTTGACTGTCAAGCCGTCTCAGCAGAACTTGTATCAAATTAATAGTAATAACCCATTTTTTAAAATTACATAGAGTCAAATAGCAAATGATAAATTAATCAGTTGATCCACAAACGATTAATTGTTGAGCATTGTTATACTTCCACAGCAGAGTTAACAGACCTGTTGTAATTAGTCTGTAATTTGTTTTCCAAATAAAGTTTAGTATATACTTTTTGTTGTTGTAATGGACACTCAGTTTGCTGGACAATAGAGCTTTGTGCTAAATGGTACTGCTTGTTCTGGCTTCTCCAGTATAAAGATTTCAATTTTTAATTTTTTAAAACAACTTTTTGAAGCTGTGTATGTTTAACCTCCTAGGACCTGGCGTCCACATATGTGGACATCACATTTTGGGTTATTTAGACTAAAAGCACGGTGGCAAGGTGGTTAGCACTGTTGCCGCACAGCAAGAAGGTCCTGAGTTCAATTCCAACATCAAGTCTTTCTGTGAGGAGTTTGCATGTTCTCCCCGTGTTCGCGTGGGTTTCCTCCGGGTACTCCGGCTTCCTCCCACCGTCCAAAGACATGCAGCTTGTGGGGATAGGTTAATCGGATAATCCAAATTACCACTAGGTGTGAATGTGCGAGTGAATGTGAGTGCGAATGGTTGTCTGTCCCTGTGTGTTAGCCCTGCGACAGACTGGCGACCTGTCCAAGGTGTACCCCGCCTCTCGCCCTATGACAGCTGGGATAGGCTCCAGCGCCCCTGAAAAGGATAAGCGGAAGCGAATGGATGGATGGATAGACCAAAATACTCAATTTTGCTCTACAAGGGCCTGATATCCTCTTACGAGGACATTATACTGCTACTGTTCTATCAAAATTTTAAACGAATATCCTCATATGTGGCGCTTATTTTTCTTAAAAACAAAAATAAGGTAAAAATAAATAAATTGGTAATTCTTTGTTTTTACATTCATATGCCCCAATATGCCCAAATATCAAAGAGAAATAAAAAATGCATGCCATGGAAGAGTTTGGGTCTTAGGAGGTTAACTGAAAATCTCTAGGCTTCAGATTGATCTCCCCTTCAGCTGTGACAAATTACAGCAACATTTTCCTGTTCTGTTTTGTTTTTGACATTTTAGAGCCTGCTGACAGATTTATCAGTAACTATTTGCAGCACTATCATCAGTATAAAACCCATAAGTCAGTCTGTTTTAATATCTGCACTGTTTGCTTCCCCATCTCTCCTCTCCTCGTTGCCCTCGCCTGCTCCGACTCTGCGTGTGTCCACACAGAGTGGACGGCGTAATGAGGACCATGAATACAGAGAAGCTGCTGAAGACTATCCCCATTATTCAGAACCAGATGGACGCCCTTCTCGATTTCAATGTGAGTTTAAGGTGAAGCCCCCCCCCCCCCACCGTGGTTCTGCAGCTCGTGTAGTAAGAAGCTGCTCATCTGGAGTGTGCAGAGTGCACCGAGACTGCTGTATTTCCCTAATTCAGAAGCAGACTTTTTGTTTTTTGTGTGTCAACAAATCGCTGTGCAGAAGCTTTAAAGATAAATGTCTCGGCTGATTGCTTTCCCTCAGGTCAATGCCAACGAGCTGACTAATGGAGTCATCAATGCAGCCTTCATGCTGCTCTTCAAAGACTCCATCCGGCTCTTTGCTGCTTATAATGAAGGCATTATCAACCTGCTTGGTAAGACCTTTGCGGACTCACCTTGTCTTTGTAAATCCTGTGCTGTTGTTGGCCATTACAAGTAAATACAATCTTTTTTTCTTTTTTTTATATATAACCAAACAGAGAAATACTTTGACATGAAGAAGACTCAGTGCAAAGAAGGTCTGGACATCTACAAGAAGTTCCTCACTCGAATGACCCGGATATCAGAATTCCTGAAAGTAGCAGAGGTAAATTAGACTACATTTATCTCCACAAATGCTCCTGCTGTCGTGAGTGCAGGGAAGCAAACACAACTCGCTCTTTCTTTCTAACAGCAGGTGGGAATCGATCGAGGAGACATTCCAGACCTTTCACAGGTAAGCGTCAGAAAACCTGAGGTTTCCACTCTTATTAGGAAGACTTTTCTTTTCTTTCTGTTACTGCCAGCTCTAACTGCTTTTTTTTTCTTTTTTTGATTCAGCATTGTCCTTGTTAGACTAGAATATAGTATACTCGGCTCACATTTTATTTACAATTAGGCACTTTGCATGATTTCCTTCTTGGGCGCATGTCTGCCAGAGGAGGCGGTCCTCTTTTCCAGTTCCCTATCCTCTTTCTTCCTCTTCTGAATCTCCTTCTTTTCTTCTTGCCCCCAGTACCTTCTTCTAATTCTTCTGACAGTAAATAAAGGTGTGGAGTCCTCACACTATAGTTGAAGCCTGCATAGTGGCAGATGTTTCATAATTTACAGTAAACTGTGCACACTGTTGTGCTCGTCTCTGGGGGACCAGTTTTACATAAATAATTTACCCCCGAAAAACTGCAGCTAAGAAGCCTTTCCTCTCACTGTCACCACCTTTATATTCTGTATTTTCCCCTTATCTTTCCACTTTAGTTCACAGTTTGTGTAAGTACTATCATTCCACTCTTTTTCTTCTATGTCCGTGACTTGCCTCAGTGTTGTCTTTTTGCATGCCTCTGCTCTGACTCTGTCTCCTACATCGTGGTGAAAAACAGTTGAAGGAAAAAACACTCGCCGTGGTAAAATTCTGTTCACTTTTGGTCGTGTTATTGAGGTGTAAGCAAGCATAGCTCATCTCCTGTAAAATGGCTGCCCCGTTGTGCTTAGACACCGCCACTTCAACAACGGCCGGGTTGCTGAAAGTGTTGTGGTGCTGTACGTCATCCCACACAGATGTTACTCTCATCCAAAGTAGCTCTTTGGCTGGAATGTAGTTATCGATCAGTGGTGGGTAACTAATAGCCCAAAGCTACCAAAAACGCGCAGATCAAAGACATAAATTGGCTGTCTACACCTGAGTTTTCATGGTGTGGTGTTTTGTACTCCATCTTGGTTGCTCACCACTGTCTTTTATGGTCTTCATGTCTATGTAGACTACATTTTCTGTCTCAGGAAGTCACTGACTCTATGTTCTCTGTCACGACAGGCTCCTAGTAGCCTTCTCGAAGCTCTAGAGCAACACTTGGCCTCTTTAGAGGGCAAAAAGGTCAAAGATTCCACTGCAGCCAGCAGGTATATAAATCCTCTTATATTTGCCTTGGATCACAGCAACTACCTCAACATTTATATTAGATCAGTCATACTGACTTATCTGTGCTGCACTGCATCTGGTGTGAATTTGTTTCCCTGCAGGGCCAGCACTCTGTCCAATGCTGTGTCATCACTGGCCAGCACAGGGATGTCTTTCACTAAAGTCGATGAGCGAGAGAAGCAGGCGGCTCTCGAGGAGGAACAGGCTCGACTCAAAGCTCTCAAGGTTAATGCATTTTTGAAACGAAAAATGAAACATTATTTCACGTGGCATGCATTAAATCTCCCCAGCGTTGGCTTTTTCTTTTTTTTTTTTTGACTGGACTTCATTACTCATCAGGAACAAAGGCTTAAAGAGCTCTCCAAGAGGCCTTCATTTGCCACGACTGATACATCACCAATCTCCACCACTGGGGGCACTATCAGCACAGCACCAGCCATTGATCTCTTCTCTACACCCAGCTGCTCCAATGGGTACTGCTTAGATCTATATTTTGTACTTGAAAAGAAAGCGCTTCAGTAACTAATTTATAACATATAAAATTGTGAGTAATTAGGACATGTAGGGAACCTTTGCCAGCATTGTCGTTGCAGAAGAAGGTATCAAACAGTCACGATGAGATGCTCATGCTAGTAATGACATGAGAGGATGTACATGTGAGATAGCTGAAGCAGTTTATTAATCAGCTGAAAAGTATTTTGTTGGTTTTCTTGATTTTGGGTTTGAGACTGGTGATCATTCAAAAAATTACATGATCTCACCGTGTGCCCACGGAAAGGATAACGGGTACGTTTCACCCTTCATAATGCTTCCTCTTCTACAGCTGCAGTCTGTAACCCAGAGGTGTAGTCAGTTTATTATCACATTGGCGCTAGAAGCAGCCATTAGAAAATGAGTACACTGTTGTCATAAAGGGACAGACATGGTCAACAATAATATTCAGGTAGGCGGTGGCATTTAAGTGACACTCCGTTAGTGCAAATAGGCACAAAGTGTGCCAAGAAAATGTCCCCACACCATTACATCTCCACCACCTGACTTAACCAAGGCAGGATGAATGCATGCTTTCATGTTTACACTTAATTCTGACCTCACCATCTGAATGTCATGACAGAAATCAAGACTTTCCTAAACAACAAATGTTTTTCAGTCTTCTGAAACATGCAAATTTTAGCCTCAGTTTCCTGTTCTTAGCTTAAGAACAGCGTTAATTGCACTTGGTGTGGTCTTCTACTACCTGTAGCCCATCTGTGCACAGAGATGCTCTTCTGCATACTGTAGTTGTAGTGAGTGGTTATTCAGGTTACTACTGCCTTCTTCCTCTGACCTCTAACATCAACGAGGCATTTTTGCCCCAGGAACTGCCGCTCATTGAAATATTGTAATGCTCGATTTGAATCTCAGCAGGTTGTTTTGACCTTGTCTACGTGCCTCAATGAATTGAATTGCTGCCATGAAATTGACTGATTATATACTTGCGTTAATGAGCAACTGAGCAGGTGTACCCAATAAAGTAGCAAGTGAGTGTATTTACACTGAAAAGCTTAAGGGAGAGACTTCTGGTTGGAAAACACATGCTTCTATATTAAAATAATATACTAATGGTGGTTGGTGGTATAAGATGATGTATTTCTGGATCGGGGAGCCACATGACAAAGTAAAAGTTTTATTAAAGTGATTTTGCTCAATGTGTACATTTAAATATGACAAGAGCTATGAAAGCATAATATTTGATTTAGAAACAAAAAAGGTTAACCCTTCCCCACTAGAGCAGCCTTTTCGGCCATTAACTCCAAATGGTTATCTGTCAGAAGAGACCAGGATAAACACTATAATCAAGCAGTTTCCGGGGCTGTATTATGGATTTGTTTACCAGGCTTTTTTCTTCTGTCCACAGTGCAGTGAAGATGGAGAGCGACCTTTTTGACCTGCAGCCTACTTTCCAGCCCTCCATGCAATCAGGCACCACAGGGCTTCCAGCAGCGACAGCATGGGCAGGTGAACTGTCGCCTCTCCCATCACGTTCCAACCAACATCTGCTTCTGGACTTTATTTGTTCTGCATGCTTTCCTCTTGTTGTTGTCTGACTCTGAATCCCACATCTTCCTCTGCTCTTCACTTTCTTCTGTCTTTTGCTTTTCTGTCTCTCTCTCTCTCTCTCTTTCCTCTGCCCGCATAGATCCTTTCACGTCTACTGAAGCTGGAGATGATTCCATGCCAAACCTTAACCCTTTCCTCTCAAAACTCGTTGTCGATGCCACTCACTTACCTGTCGTGTCTTCAGACGGTGTTAGCTTTTCCTCTAGGACATCTGGTCATGAAGTGTTTGGTGGTAACAAATCATTTTGCTTCTCAGAAGTCTTGTCGTGCTTGTTCATTTCTGTGTAGCTTCTTATAAGCATGATTAGCCTGCATGTTTTCCCTCTGCTGGTTTAGTTTGAATGCTGATTACCTGTCTGCTTATACACATCTCAGTTCTCTCTTCCTGTCTTCCTGTTCTAAGCTCAAGCTCAAATTACGTTAGCTTCTTAGCCTCTTTGTGCCTCTCATGTACCAAACAGGGTCCTCCATGTCCTGCTATGGAGGTAGTTTGGGCTCTTTTAATGAAGTTTGGTGTTGCATTGTAGTGCAAAGATGCCTTAGAGCTTTAAGTGGAAATATGTTCTTCTTTTACCAACACTATTTTTGATTCTCCAGATCGTTACAATCCCTTTATTGACACAAACTCATCCGTTTCAACCAATTACAAACGCACAGTGCGGATAGAGCACTCCATCTCAGGTACTATGATGGCTCCCCATCACAGCCTATGTTTCCTGGCAAACATAGGATCCTATGCAAATCCCCCTCCCTCCCCCAAAGAGCCATTATTTTGTCATCCATGGTAGAAATATAGGCAGAAACTTGTGTTAAAGGAAAGGTCTGACATTTTGGGAAAATATTTTAACAAATGGTAATATTTGTTAAATTAGGGTTAGGTTAGGTTTGGTTAGGTTGCTGGGTTGGATCAGTGAATGTGACAGCGTTGCTCTGGAGCTGTTCCTTAGTGATTTGGGGCCATTTTGACCTGGTAGCATCACACTGTTGCTGCAAATTTATTGAAGCACATCCATGATGCAGCTCTCTTGTTCCACCACATCTTAAGTATATTGTGTTGGGTTGGTCTGGTGACTATGGAGGTCATTTGAATACACTTAACTCATTAACCAACTTAACTATTCAAGAAACAAGTTTGAGATTATTTGAGCTATAACCCATTATGCTAGTGGAAGCGGCAATCAGAAGTCAGGTACACTGTGATTGTAAAGGGGTGGATGTAGTCAGCAGCAGGTGATGAAATGATGCTCAGTTGGTGTTAAGGGGCCTGAAGTGTGCCAGGAAAAACCCCCTACACAATTGCATCACTACTACCAGCCTGAACTGTTGATACAAGGCAGAATGGATCCATCCTTTCATGTTTATGCTCAATTCTGACCATACTAACTGAATGTTGCAGCAAAAATTGAGACTCCAAATCCAGGCAACATTTTTCCAGTCTTGTTCAGTTTTTGTGAAGCTGTGCAAACTGTAGATTTGTGTTCTTAGCTGGCAGGAGTGGCACCTGATGTGCTCTGTAAACCCTAGAGATAGTGTGGGAAAATTGCAACAGATCAGCAGTTTGTGAAATGCTCAGACTAGCCTGTGTGGCACTAACAACCATGTCACGTTCAAAGTCACTTGAGTTTATGTCAAAATGTAGACAGTTTGAACTCTTTTAGTCAGTGTGTCACTCAGAAATAATACTACTGTAAATCCCCTCAGACTGCAGCGTGAGCCAACCAAAACTCTGGCACTTCTTTACAGTATCACAGTTTTGTTGATACTCTCTGCCTGGTTAAAGGACTAGGATTTAGTCAAAAGCCTTGTGTAATGTTATTTTGAGCTTTGAGACTTTTTCCTTAAATATTTAAAAGCCATTTCTTTTATGTGGGTTTTCAAAACATGCAGAAACTATTGGTCTTTTCAATCACTGGTTTATGCTTCTCATCAGCAGCAAAACAGTTTGACATTAAGCAAGCTATTTAGCAAAGTCTGACCAAGCTAGCTGCCATGTGACCTTTTGTGAATGCTCACAGCTGCATTACTTGCTTGACAGGAACAACTGCCAATCAAAATATAATGTTCCTCCAGCTGATCCGATCTACCACCAGCCATTTTCTTTAGGTGTCCACCTATTTTCAGTTTTCATGTTAAGCTAAGTGTAACATATGCTAGTCTGATCAATTAGTATTAATCTCCAAAATGTCAAACTATTCCTTTAATGCTTGCCTTTGGGTTGCTGCGGTACATATCCACCTCAAATTTTGCTTAAGAGTTTAATAACTTTTGTACATGTTAGCTCTTGTCTTTCTTAGAGCTGGGCGATATGAGATTTTTTCATATCACGATATGTTTTTTTCATTTCAGGCGATAACGATATCTAT